ATCCTCGAATGCTATGACACATTTTATCAACTTACTACATTGAATATCAACTTTAGAATATATTGAATATTCTCAAGGATGACTTGGAGTGCGTTATGAAATGTATCTCCTTAATTTCTTAAATAATTGTCTGTTCTATTTATGGCTAAGAAGAAACTTTAATACCCATGCTAGCATGCATTGTTGTCCATCTTTTCAGGCACAAAAGTCAGCTAAGAGTTGAAGAGAAACAGATTCATTGCCACCCAAGGCCCAAGCCAAAGAAAATGTTGCATCTTGTACAAGACTGAATTCAGACTTTGAAGTCAAATAATTATGGGATCATAAGTTGCTTGTCAAACTACCATATTTTAAAGACTTTTCTTATGCATAACTTGTGCAGGTGGTAGACTACAAGTTAAGCAAAATGCCCCCCACAAAACAAGGGCCAAAATCTTCATAGATTTCAGCTCCTTCACATTCAAGAAATCATAGAGAAGGAATAGGGCTATAGCTTGACAGAAATGATCTCAACTTCAGCTTTCGTTTTCTCAAACCTAACGTTCCCTTCATTGGATTTTTCCCCCAATATCCTACCGTTAGCTTAGATGCAAACCAAGTAAACTATGACTCCAAAAGGGCCCTACTCATAAAACACATTTCTTTTTGCCCTTAGGATCTAGTTTTGTTTCACATTTGGTGGTTAGGTTAAAAATTTTGCAGTCGCTTTTAGGAAGGCCACCCTGTCCCTCAAGGTTTAATTACGATGGAGCACTTGGTATTGAAAAGAAAAGGTAAACGAGATAAAATTTGTTAGGAGATTAATGTTTGCTTAAGTATGATAAGCATATATAGTTCATGTATTACCAAATGTATAAGATTGGATAAGAAGTTTACAATTTGGTTAGTTAATCTACCACCCTAAAACAAATTCCAACTTGTATTAATACTATGTTTTTGCCATTTTTTGGTCCCCATTTGATCAGCGCCTTCTGCATTCTTACTTCCATAAAATAATGCTAAATGTATATGTTTATTAAGGGTTCGAAATTCTTCCAAACATTCCTGATCAACTCACATGCATTGAAAATTTAACTATAATTGATTTGACAATTGTTACTTTCTGAATGAACTACCACTACAAGAAGACTTTAGCTAACCCTCTAAGATGACCTGTAATTTGTCATAAATTAAGGCTGAACCCACAATTAAGGATGACCTGTATTATGGAGGGTTAGCCCATATTGTCTTTGACTGGTCAGTTTTTATTGTCATTGCTACTACCTCCGTCTCAAAAAAATAATCCATATTGAGTTTTTAAATTTGTACTAAAAACAGTACAAAACTCAAAACTCAATGTGAACTATTTTTATGGAACTGAGGGAGTATTTTTTTTTTTTATCAAAATATCAAAACATAATCGCAACATAAAATGACTCAAAATTAGCACTAAGAATAGCTTCTATAAAAGACTTTAGAAGAATGAATGAAATCTGATTATTTAATATAAAAAAAAAAATTGACTCAATGTTCTGAAAAACTTTTTTCTTTTTTTTATTGAATTCACTGCATATGACAAGCTATTCACTACCAACAATAATATCTGAATAATTAAACACAACGTAAACTGAAAAAATGTCTAGAATTTTTTTATTACGTATAATAAGATATTTACTATCGACAATAATGATTAATATGATTTTTTTTTTTCGAAAGGGGATTAATATGATCGTTGAGTTGAATGTCCACAAACTATACACAATAACAATTCTTGCGACTGACCGTTTCAGTTTTGAGGCATCATCCCCACATTCATTTCACCTTTCTAAATATAAAAGTGTTCCTTACTGTCTTGCCAAGTTTTCAGCTTTACCCCATATTTTGTGGCCCTTTCTAGTTGGCAATCAGATGTTTACAGCTTTAGGCCATTGCTAATTTGCCATAGCCATGTGTATAATTACCTTAAACCAACACATCATTCACGTTACACTAACCACACAATCCCACATGATTGATGTTATTAATTACATTCTTCCATTCACCAATTAGGCTTTGCTTTTTGCAAACTTAGATTGGTTAAAAGAGTTCAATCTTCTAAAAATTCTAGTATAATTTTTCATTTAACACTCGTGTATTTCTCCCTTTGCCTTCGAAAAACAAAATCAAATTTCTGTATATTATTCTAATTAATCGGTGCCACAATTCTTTTTCTTTTTTTTTTTGTTGGTATAATCAAATATGTATTTCAAAGGTTATGACATATTATGACATTACAACAAAATAATACAAAATATACATAAGTTAATAAGAATGAACCTCCCATGATTCTGATTAGAACATTCAGAAACTCGTTAAGAGAACACAAACTTGATTCTCATTACATGCAAAAGGATTAAAGTCTTCCCTAGTTGCAGAGTTGTGGGATAGAACCTTTTCCTTGTGCAACTTTGCATCACATGCTATCTCTTCCCCATTCACCCCCACCTCCTTTCTAATCCACCATTTATATTCTTATCCATCTTTCTTTAATTCACTTCTTTCTTTTCTTTTCGTTTTTTTTTTTTTTAAAAATGAATGTGATATCTTTCTGTCTCCTTTCAATTGATCATTTCCCAAAACCCGATTGACCCCCTTTTTAATCAAAACCATAATGGAATCATTAGTTTGATAATTAAACTAAGATTTTTTCTTTTGTTCGGTCCAATGGCATTGTTTTGTTAATCTGTGCACATAATTTTTTTTTAAAGGCTCAATTGAGAGATATAATGGCTAGATTTTGTTGCATTTTCATAAAAAGGGAAATCGCATAGGACATTGTTCATTATTCCCCTTTCATCCACTAATGTAATCATAGCAATGTGGCCCTGTTTTGCACTCCCTCAAAGGCTTTTTTTTTTTTTTTGCCGATTGTGCATTTTGTCATCCCATCATCCCAATGTCTTGTGGATCAAAACTTCAATTGCTTTTTTTTTTTTTTTTAACAACTTTAATTTTCATTCATCTACAAGGCAAAAAAGCACCTTGAAGTATTAGACATATCATGTGCGTTACTGCTATTCTTCATCATAGTTACTTCGTCAAGATGCTGTTTTTTGGTACATATGCCAAATGTCAAGTTCTTTGGCAGGAAGGAATTGTTCATTCATCCAGAAACGTAATTGCAATCCACCCAGCTTCCTACCCCAGCAATAAGAAAAGGAGAAAAGATATGTAACAAATACCAAAGGGAAAAAAAAATGTTAGCTGTAAAATATTCTTGATGTGACTACTAATCGTTTTATTACAAAATTTATTTTTAAGACGGAAGAAATATATATATATTTTTTTAATTGACTGCAGAGGGTACCATTCTTTGTGGTCCTTGAGGGAAATTGATAATATACCAATAGTTTACAGTTCAAACATCAGTTTTTCTTCTCTTTTTTCTCAGCATTAGGAAGAGTTTAACACTCAATTCATTAATTAGGGCAGCATACCAGAGCGAAAAGGTTGTCAAGAAGGCACACAAGTTTCGTTTTCAACTACGACAACTAATATCTTCTAACTTCTGTATTACAAAGGAGTAAGGACCACTTGAGGAAGCTCAAAGTCATGACAATGGGCTAAAGGATTGTTAGAATCATGTGGTTTGAAATCTTACATTGGTATATATGGCATCCCAAAGTCCCAACAATGATGTAGAAAAATGAGAGTATTATAGGTTTTCTTGTCCAATTATTACGTTCATAACACGTAATGTTTCATACACTGATATCTATAATTAGAAATGGATAACAGGAAATATATTACCGAACGAGATGATATATCATGTTAGAATACAATGTGATTGGTGTTTTCCATCGCAATTCGTATTTTTAAAAATTTATCTTTAGACTTGCACCCCCTTCACTAAGTGAGAACTTGTAAAATGATCATAAAAGTATTGAGGGCTTGGACAATCACTTACAGACTTGCATACTAAATCTCCCAGAAACTTGGACTTAAGAACTGAATTGAAGTACCTTCAGCCCAAAATATTGATGTTTGGACTAGCCCATTAGCTGGACCGAATTTTTTTTATTTTACTTTTTTTGTAAATTGGATAGAGATTTTGCATACTGTATTTGATGATAATTTTTTATTTACTTACCTAATTATTCTTCTTGCACATCTATTGAAATTTTGTAATGAGCCCCAATTTCGAAAATAAATACTAAAGGCAACCACAAATTTTATGAAAAGTAAATTTATCAACTACAAATTTTTACATTTATCTTTATAAAATTCAAATACGGTTTTAAATATACGTAGCTATGGCTCGTTCATTTTTCCTATGGTCACCTTTTTTAACATCGTTGACATTAATATTTAAACCAAATAGAGAATATTATAGTTATACAAAAGCTTTAATGTTAATCGCCTGTGCTCATTAATACCGATACCATAAACAAAATTTATATCCATCACAAGATTTTAGGTATTTTACTTTCTACTCAATATTTATTACATTTTTCTTAATGAACCTCAATATTTTGTTAAAGTATGCTACCAATCAAGGTGTGGATAATCAAGGTGTTAACGAGTCAATGTTGTGAAAAAATTTATTATATTTCTAAACTCTAGAAGTTAAACTCGTTTGGCATGTAATAAATTTTATATTTAAGCCGATAACAAGCTTTCAAATGTTAAAGTCTCTGAAATCTTCAAGCCTATAAATGAGAACTTCCGCTAACTTCTTTGCTACGTAACTTACTTAAAAATAACCTAGCAAATGTCTATTGTGATTTTGTCATTCAATATTGAATTTGATCAATTACGAACAATATAGGTCACACGAGTAGAAAAAGATTATATTTTGCAATTTGCACTAAAAAGGTTCTCAATTGAGTATTTCCAAATCACGCATGCCCGATAACACAATAAGCAAAACATACAGGGGTCTCTGTATAAATTATTCATTATACACGTATACCCTAGGATAATACTACTAGTATAAAAAGGAATACTGTAGTATTTTTCAAACGTATTAAACAAAAGAAATTCAGAGGCAAAAAGTACGGCAGTCAGTGACGACGGAGAACAAATAGAATCAGAACTTTCCATTCTCCAAGCCGAAGTAACCGCGAAAAACAACAACAAGAAGAAGAAGATCAAAAGGCAAAAAAGAGTATAAGAAATCAAAGATGTCTGGTGGGATCGCTCGTGGTCGTCTAGCTGAGGAGCGCAAGGCTTGGCGCAAAAATCACCCACATGTCGGTTCCTTTTCCATTCTTTTTGCTCAAAATTGTAAAAGATTTTCCGGGTTTTTGATTTTAAGCATGCAAAATCAAGTAATAGGTTATGTTTTATTTTTTATGTTCTTGCACTTGGAGGAAGTTGGTGCTGTTATCTGGTTTTTTTTGATTGTGTTAGAAGGAGTTAGTATTGAGAATTTGTCCTGTTTCACCGATCAATTGGTGGGGTTTTGGTTTGGTGGGTTGTTGATTTTTGGATTTTGGTTTTTGATTTTCCTTCTGGTGGTTTTTGTGTTTGCAGGGTTTTGTGGCAAAGCCAGAGACTGCTTCTGATGGGACTGTTAATCTGATGGTCTGGCATTGCACCATCCCTGGCAAGCCTGGAGTAAGTTCTTCTGTTTCTTTCTGTGATTTTTTTCCCCTTGTTATTTTCATGTACATGTGGTTCTCCCTCTTTATATCTGTTGTATAATCAACCGTCAAGTGCGAAAAGGACGGAAAGATTTGATTTTTATTTTATTATTTAATGAGTGTTGGTATGTTTCTTGCCTTGTCCGTTCGTTTTCTTTTCTGTTGGTTCTGCCTGTGCAAGAGGTGTCTGATTGTGCCAAATTGTATGTATGGTTGAATTTACTTTTAGTTTATGTTTGGGAATTGTTATGATATGAAACTAGGTCTTTGTTAAAGTAGTTTGAAGTGTCCTTTCTAGCATTTGATTTGCCACCATTTTGTTTTACCAGCCACGTACGTTCAATTGTGGTTCACTGTGGTTATCCTAGCCAGATTAGACCGTTTTACCGAGTCTTATTTGCGTAGAGTATAGATGCTTAAATGCATTTGATGTACGTGCTGTCGACTTGTCTTTTCATGGAAGATGTTGGCTGGAGTTTTGATAGATGGCCTCCTTGTGAGGTTGATATTATTAGAGTGTTTACTTACCAAAGCTGTTGGCTTTTTAATAGCATTTGATGGTAATGGTGTTATACTGTGTAGCCGTTGAGTTCATCAATATGTGATGGCTAATTTGATTAATTCGCATGACCTTTTTGGCTGTAATTTTACCAGTTTTTGTAGGAAGCCTTCTGCCGCCGATATTTGTGCAAGTGCAACATTTTGATTCTTTTCCCTCTGTTGTCTTTGTAGAGTGTCATATTATGAACCCAATAATTAGATTTACTTAGCTACAGATGCTTTGTTTTGTATGGGGGTTTTTAAATCTGATTGGTTACTTTATGCATTTAATAATTATAATGATGATACACTATGCTTGAGTTGCATCTTTAAGGCATGATTAACTTCCCTCTTATGATGTCAAAGAGCATGACATATTTTGGAATTAGATATGTTGTTTTAAATACATAAAGAAATGTTTACCATTTTGTTGAGTATGGTATAAAATCATGCAGCTTTAGTTTGTTTGAGTGAAAAAAAAAACGCTTATATGACGTTTTCGTTGGAAATAAATTTGAATATTGAAATCTGCTTGAAGGACCTTTATTTCCCCCTTCCTATTTGTTTCTTTTTAAGAAAAAGTTTACTTTTCCAGCAAAAGAATGTAAGCAACGTATCTGCATGGTTGCATGTTTTATCTACTCATGGATGCATGTGAGCCTTGTAGATTATCTATATAAGCTCCTTTGATTGGAAGTGGAGATATACAGATTCATTCATTTTATCTTGCTGAACAAGAAGAAGATTGGATGGTTGTTTTTTATTATTGTTTTTTTTTTGGGGGGTTGGGTTTCTTCTTATTTCTTGTATAATAATTTGTCCTATTGTTGATGACAACACCTTGCAACAGTATGCCGGGGACATGTTTAGGTTAATTGATAGGTTTAACAGAGTTATTTAGACACTTTTAGTTGGGTGATACTTTAGGAGAAAGGGAAGTATAAGGAGAAGTTAAACTATGAGGAAAGTTTGGTAACTGGAAGTCTGAAACTTCTTTTACTCCAAGAGGAAAAAGAGATCATTTTAGGTCTTATTAGTCCCTATATCGCTTTCTCTGATGTTTGCCATGCTGTCAGAATTCCCTGTTTTGGACTTCATGTATTTAATTGGAAGACTGACTTCTTCTTTATTGATGCAGACTGACTGGGAAGGTGGCAACTTCCCTGTCACTATGCTCTTCAGTGAGGATTACCCTAGTAAACCTCCCAAGTGCAAATTTCCTCCAAATTTCTTCCACCCTAATGTGTATCCTTCTGGAACAGTGTGTCTCTCTATCCTTAACGAAGATAGTGTGAGTATTCTTTAGATATCTTGCTCTTCATGTTGTTTACTATTCCAGTTGCACACTTGTTAATAATGTTGAGACTTTACCTTGTTCATTAGGGATGGAGACCAGCCATTACAGTGAAACAAATTCTAGTTGGCATCCAGGATCTCTTGGACCAGCCTAATCCTGCTGATCCTGCTCAGACTGAAGGCTATCAAATGTTTATTCAGGTGCATTTAATGCTCAAATTCATTTGTTTAGTGTGTTATGCAGGTTTTATGGCCTTGCCTCTGAAAGTTTAGCACTATTGTTTGCAGGAACCCATTGAGTACAAGAAAAGGGTTAGGCAGCAGGCCAAGCAATATCCACCCCTTATTTAGTACAATGCTGGTGTATGATTACTTTAGCATGGGTATGCCTTGCTCGATTTGTAAGCTACTTCTGATAGCTCTATTTGTAAGCTACTACTTCTGATAGTCAGCTGAAAAATATAGATGTACCTTTTGAAATTGGATTGATTACATACTTTTATCTGTTTGTACTGTGATTTTGAGGATCAAGTGATGCCTCTTTTGGAAATTATTGACATGATATGTCGCAGAAACCCCCATTCTCATGAATGGTTTTAGCTTAAGTTCTTTTTGCAGATGCGCAGCTTGTTCTATGCTTCTATATATTTGCTATTTGCCTGGCATATTAAACATGCTAATTAAAGAGGTCAAATTGAGTAATGTGCTCCTTTAAGGGCAACTACTTGGAAGGAAACTAATTTTTGAAGTATTTTATGCTCAGATGTAGAAGTTTATTTTCTTGGTCACTGCATGGCATTCTAGAGGCTGTAGTGTACTTTTCTTTTTGGTGGTTCTGTCTTCAATCTTACCTTTGCAATTGCGTTGTGAAGAATAGATGTTGTCATGTGGAGAAAAAAACGAATTGCAGGAGTCATTTAAGTTTTGACATTGTAAGTTTCCTTTCTTTTTGAGTGTGCATCAGTCTTTTTCCCTGTCACTAGCAAGTCTTTTTTCATTGTCCAATACGGGGTTGATAACTTGATATTCTGGAAACGAGATATTTCACCGTTTTGTTCAGGCATTGAAATCAATATGAATGTAGGATTAGGGCATTCAAGAAAAAATGTAGAATCTAAACTGGGAGAAAGATATTAGGGTCTATAGTTAACGCATTTCGGAAGGATTCTTATAGACTTCTTCAAGCAATTAGGACTTTCAGTAGCAGCAAAACAAGTAAACAATTGGATTTGAATCAGAAAACAAAAGTGAGAAACTACAGCACCATTAATCAGTTCTTGACCCCAAAAGCACAGGACTTCAGGTCATCAATCAATCCCAGAAGATCTTGATAAGATGACCCACCAACTTCCACAGATTTCTTCGCAATCTCAGACATTTCCTTTGTTCTTTCCCTCACTTTCCGACTTTCTTCTGTGTCACTTAGCATTCTGTGTATTCCTTTCTCAATGTCCGAACTTTCCAACACCACTCCCTTTATGACTGGAATGCCTTGCCACTGATCCGATCCTAAACTGATTCCAACTTTAAGAATCCCAACAAGAATTTCATTGTAAAACTGCTCTGCAAACAATGGCCAAGTAATCAATGGCACCCCAGAGATCAAGGCTTCAAGAACTGAGTTCCAACCGCAGTGGGTCATGAACCCGCCTGTCGCCGGGTGCTGCAAGATCTTCAACTGAGGAGCCCAGCCTTTGAAGATCAATCCCTTGTTAGAATTCCTGATTCTTTCTTCAAATCCATCAGGCAACCAGCTATCTTGCCGATTCGCTTCGTCGAATTTCCTCACAACCCAGATAAATGGCCGGTTCGAGTTCTCTAACGCTGAAGCAATCTCGTTGATTTGGGCCTGAGAAAATCTGGTTATGCTTCCAAAAGAGACATACACAACGCTGTTTGGCTCCTGAGTATCCAGCCAATCTAAACAGCTGTGCTTGTCGGAAGAAACAATGTTGTTTGTGATCAGTTTATCCTTGTTGGCGAAGTGGAAAAGAGGGCCAATGTTCCAAATCTTGGTACTACCAATTACCTTCTGATAGTAATCAGCGTATTGTGGTTCCAATTCATAAAAATTGTCAAAAACCAATCCGTGGCTCCGAAGCTCTGAATCTTTGACAACCTTAATGACCCCAGTAAAGAAACTTTCCTTCTTCAGATGTTCCTCCAGTTGGGAACCTTTCATCTCAACCTTATCTGGAAATCCAGGAATCAAGAAGCTCTCTGAATCCGAACTGACCTGCTTATGAGGTTCATATTTCTCCAAGTAGTGAGGCAAACAATGAGACATGAAACTGTTAACATAAAACATCAACCTGGGAATCTTCATCTTGTCAGCTAAATCAACAGTCCAGGGAAAGAACATGTCGGAAAATATGCAGTGAGGACGAAGATCCATGATGAAATCTTCCATGGGCTTCTGGAGCAGGGGAAGGGCCTGGTAAAGTCTGCCCATTATCTCCATAGTTGTTGCAGCCGGGAAATTCTCAATTCCTTCCGGTAAGCCCACTTCAGCTGCCGGAAACCGGAGGTTGTGGATGGAAATATCTCGGCCCAACTGGTTGTCTTCATCAATGGAGGATTGGACAACGGCAGCGTTGTGTTTGGTGGTCAGAATCGTGATCTTAACACCTTGGGCCGCCATAACTCTGGCGGCGTTTACCAGAGGAATCATATGGCTGGGTGTGAAGTATGGAAGACAGAGTACATGAAGTTTACTGCTTTCTTCCATAGCCATAATTCTTGAAGAGAAAAAAAGAGAAGAAGTTTAAGCTCTGATTTAGTATTGATTGAACAATAATTCTGCTCTAACTTTATATTAGTCCTTTTTGAGTCCAATTAAGTACTAACTCTTACTGTGTCATTGGTCAAACACTACTGCAAGTCTGCAACAGCAATATGAGACTGCATATGGCAAAACGTCAGTAATGACAAATCATTTAAAGTAAAATAATTGCAAAGACAATTGGAAATCACGTTAATGAATTAAGAAGTATCGAGGTTAGATCCTTTAAGTAAACAGCTCATTTGGAGTATCCAATGAAATGAAGATTCTTCATTGAGTTTATTCAGGTTGTTAATAAGATTTACAGATTACTTGAATTGAATATGAGAATTCGTAATTTAAATAGGTGTAAAAAAAGAAAAAGAAAAGGTAAGACTTGCAGACTACTACAATCTAGCATCAGCAATGATGTTGGTGTATGAAAACAATGGTTTCTTTTTATTCTAAATTTGTGAGGGTAGTGTGTAGGTCTTTTCAATGACGACTTGGAGTTGGGCCGGGACGGCTGATTTTCTAGAAAAATGAAAGAGGAAGCTCTTCCGGTTCCATACTTCCATCTGGTTTGCCTGTATGTATTATTCATCAACGAAGTTAATATAGAGATTTCAATTCCAATAATTTCTTTACACACTTTATTTACATTTTTAACTGGAAAAACGTAAATTAACCTCGGTGAGAATATGATATTATTTTTTGTTGCAAGTACACACTTGGTAACAATTTGTGTTCGGTGTTTTGCCTGCTTCATTGTAAAAGTTAAAAAATAAAAACTAAAAAATAGGTCAACTAGAAGATATCTTTCCATTGGATAGTGGTCCATTCACGGGTGCAGCCATAATATCCTATTCTCCCTCGTGGAAGTGGGAACAAAAGAAAATTGCATGCACATTACTCAAACCTTGTTTTGGAAGGCCAAAATAAATTTGTGCTTAAATGCCATAAAGTCTTTGCTCACGTCTTTTAACCATTGCAGATTGAAAGGAAGGCGCCAACAGCAAGATAGCCGATGCTGATTCTTTTTTGTTGCCGGAAAGAATCAGAACCAGTGGCTACAAAAAAAACCTGTGTGAAGAACAATACAAATATAAACAACCAAGTAACTTCACAGAAAAAAAAAAAAAGGTTTTGAGGTTAGGTTTTATACACTATCAGACTAAGATTTTATAAATGCGATGTTATTCTGACTCAAAAGTGTATCTAGTGATTTAGTTCAAACTCGTTGGGTTTAAGGTGATATAAAATCTCAAATTATACTTGTCCCACATTGGTATATTGAGAGACATATATTGATATTTAAGTTCTATGAACTATTTCCGTCATTACTAAATGGTTTGGAAGTAGAACCCCATAGACTTCTATAGTGAGTATATAAATATTTTGATCTCATATCTTAAAACTAATTAACATTGAGTTATATATTGAATCATTTCTTTTCAAGCTGAAATATGGAACAATAAAATTGAATCTATAAAAAAAATCCAAAGAGATTTGCCTTATTCGATACTCAAGGAATTTATGTATAGGGTATCAACAAACTCTAACGATACAGAAATAAAAGAGGTTATTTTCCTCCCACCTTCCTTTAGTACAAAAATATACTCATTTTGTTCCAAAAATAAAATAAAATAAAATAAAATAGTTCACAATGTAAATTTCAAAAACTCATTGTAGACATTTACCACACACAAAAAAAAAAAAAAAAAACTCATTGTAAAAATTTTTTTTTTTTGGATAGAAATAATATATATTTAAACTAGACTACAGTATCACAAAAATCCCATTGGAGTCTCTTTTAACCGATGTCAAAACGGACTTGGGTTTACGTTGAGAAGTTATCCTAACACAGTTAAACCAATATTCAGGCTATGCCACCATTGTGAATTACCAAAATAGGATGAGCATGCTTCTACTCCTTGTAGAGTTGATTCATGTGCAGTTTGTATTTTATCACTCAAGAACATACTTCTACATTTAATACATATCGTTTTATGTAGAGAAGGTGTTAAGGAGGTACTCCCTTCGATCCATATTATAAGACATTTTAATTTTTCTCAGGCGTCATTTAGTACGCATTTTTAATTGACAAAAAAATTTTAAAATTATTTTATAACAATCAAGAGAACACAATGAATGTGAAAATATATTTTTAAGATTTTTTTGTCAATTAAAAATACATATTGGGTGAAACCTATGACAAATCAAAATGTTTTATATTTAGGACTGAAGGGAGTACATAAAATAGTTTAATTGTGATAAATTCAATTTTTAAATCTTCTCGTGCGTTTTGTTGTTCAATGAGATACTATTTGGGTCAATCTTCAAATTTATTTTTACATATTTGTTAGATGTTCATCCTTCCTAATTACTGAATCACATACATTTTGATGAGCGCAATAACTGGCCTAGAAATTTAAAACTACTCAACAAATTCACTCTTGATTCTACGTATGAGATGTGAAAACTTTATTTAGCTTATTAGTTATTAGGATTCAAGTCTCTATACTATTCCCCCCTTCCTTTCTTTGATCACTAAAAGGAATTGTTGTAAATACATACTTCCTTCTGCTTACTTAAAGCACTACACCAAATACAATTTGTTTCAACGGACAGAGTATAATTCAATATATATTAAAGTACAAGTAGAAATGTAATGCAAAATTTGAATTGAGGAGGTCGTTAATGGAAACATCATCTGCGTATCCTCTTGGCAGTTTTTGGTGCATATATAGTGTCCCCTAAAAGAGAAGATCGTGGAGCATACATCTGTAATAGAGATTACAAAGTTATAGAGAAGACCTAAACGAAACGTAAAAACTCAAGTTAACTTGTTTTTTTAACAAAGAAAATTTAATTCTTGAAACATGTATGCAAAAATACATTACGGATGGCTCTTATATTTATAAAATTTGAAATCCAAATAAAAATTACTCTTTCCATCCCAAAATTATTGACCAGTTTGAATTTTTTATTTTAACACAAATTAAACTAAAAATGAAAATTTAAATTGAACAATAATTTTGGGACAGAGGACAGCATGATACTTTAACTTATGTATCTAAGCATATAAACATTATCTATAAAGGGCAAGACTTATTTATTGGTTTAAAGTGTTTATTTTATCATTAAGAAACAAAGAGCAACCAAAAGGTTTTCAAGCACTAGAGTGACACTTCCCTGTTCATTTTATTAGGTATAATTTATTGAAGGTGTAAGTAATCTTTTTTTTTTTTTGGAAACAAGGTGTAAGTATTGAATATTGATGATAATTTTTTTAAAAAAATACACATAAGATCGTTTGTCCTAGCTCACCATTTAATTCACATGAAAAAAGAACACACACACACAGAGACAGACAAGACGCATAAAAAATGCGGTGAGCGTGGATCGAACACGCGACCTTCAGATCTTCAGTCTGACGCTCTCCCAACTGAGCTATCCCCGCATTGTCGTTCATGGTCAACTATCATAAATTATAACTATTAATTATGTGCGTAGTTGCAGTCTTCAGAAAGAAAATATTATTGTTTTCGCACATGTTCCTTTTCATTTGGTATAATTGAAGAAAGGCCTAAAAGTAAAACCTCTAGATTAAAACAAAATGCAGATAACAAAAACGAAAATAGCTATTCAAACTACAACTAATTAAATATATAACGAATAGAATACTGTATGTCTAATTATCTATAGTGGATTACATAACTCTTGTTTTTTTTTTGTGGGGGACCCTAGATATAAAACACCTTTTTAGTGCTTGGATTCAATTCTAAAAGACTGGGAAAAGTCTCATATTTATTGCCATTAAAATACTTTGTAATAAGACAGTTATATCAGTATTAGCCTTACACAAACCAAAACTTGAGTAATTAAATTCACAAATTGTGATTTCACCACTTCCCCTTCTCCCTCCATCGTGCTTCTTATATCACCGATGATCTTACCACACACAAGTATTCTTATCTTCAACGTCATGTAAGCTATCCAAACTCAAAAAGGGCTCAAACCAGATAATGGTCTGAAGAAACAGAAATAATGTTTAACGTCAATCTGTGTATTGATACAAGATGAAAGTCGGCTATATATACAAGAGTATACGACTAGGGTTAAGGTTAGGGTTTTACCGGAACCTTCCAGAACATTACATACAAAGACATATATAACTCTAACTGTCTACATAATATAACACCCTCCTTAAGTTGATGCAAATTTCGAATGCCCAACTTGGACAAAAGGAAACCAAAAGAGATTGACCCAAAGCCTTGGTGAAAATATCAGTCAATTGGTTTTGAGAACATAACTCGGAGCAATAACACCCTGAACAAAGTCATCACGAAGGAAATGACAGTCCACCTCAATGTATTTGGTACGCTCATGAAAAAACGGATTCGTCACAAGATGTAAAGCAGATTGACTATCACAATAAAGTCATATACGGGAAGATTGACCAACACCCAGACTACGCAAAAGAGATTTCAACCACTTCAACTCACAAACAGTATTGGCCATGACACGATACTCAGCCTCTGCAGAAGAGCGAGAAATAATGGTCTGTTTCTTAGTACGCCAGGAAATGGGGGAATGACCAAGAGTTATGAACCAGCCAGTAAGAGATCGACGAGAAAAAGGACAACTAGCCCAGCCATAATTACACCATGCAGAGAGCCAAAGATCACTATCAGCACGAAGAAAAATCCCTTGACCAGGACTAGACTTCAAATAACAAACGACACGAAGCGCAGTATCCCAATGAGCTTGACGAGGAGTCTGCAAAAACTGGGCCAACATATGCACAGTATACGAGAGATCAGACTGAGTGAGAGACAAATAAATCAAACGGCCAACCAAACGACGACAACGTGCAGGATCCGGGAAAAGAAGACCCTCATCCAGCGGAAGATGATGATTCTGTTCTATAGGAAAAGAAGCAGGTTTGCCACCCAACAACCCAACTTCAGAAAGTGTGTCCATGGCATATTTCCGTTGACAGAGGAAAATACCAGACGGACTTTGAGCCACTTCAATACCCAAAAAATACTTCACGACCCTAACATCCATCATAAGAAAACATCGACTCAAATAAGATTTAAAAGTCGAGATGGCCACAGAGTCATTTCCCCCAATCACTAAATCATCCACAGATACTAAAATAGACAGACAAACCGCACCACGATACTAGGTAAACAAGGAATAATCAGCAGAAGATTGAACAAAGCCATACAACTTTAAGGCAGAAGCCAGCTTAGCAAATCAACAATGAGGGGCCTGCTTAACGTCAATCTGTGTATTAATACGAGCCGAAAGTCGGCTATATATATAAGAGTATACAACTAGGGTTGGGGTTAGGGTTTTACCGAAACCTTCCGGAATATTACATACAAAGACATATATAACCCTAACCGTCTATACAATATAACATGGTCACCTTTACAATAATCATAAATTAAGTTACGTGGTAAGTTCTGTGTTATTCGATAATTTTACCATCTCTATGATTTTGGATTATTTATACATTATTCATATTCCTGGTTAATTATTAAACTACCAACGCCCACCTAAAAGTGATTACTCGAAACGAATTTTTGCCTAATTGCCTCACTTGGAGTTGGAAGGCTAGAAGGAACTGTAATGTATGAGGTGCACCCAAACTAATACAACCTACCTGAGCAGCTATGTATATGAATCATGCTTGGTCAACTCAACCTAATTCGATTCCCTGCGCTGTACGTGCGTCGGTATTGAATGTGTTCATTCATGCATCTCAATTATGTACCATCACCTACACCAATTTTCCAATTTAATTATTGAAATTTATTATTTCTTTCGTCCCAAAAATAAAAAATATAAATCATCCACTTAATAAATAGTTTTGTAAATTGAATTATTTTTCTGAACGAAGAAAATACTTGTACTTAAGTTGTGGCAAAACATGGGCGCAAACTGTAAGCAGAAACTTGTTACTATCTCTAACCTGACCTAAGTGCTTAGCCGAAATAAACATTCCAGAATTGACCGTTATTTTATAGTACGGCTCTTGTTGTCGTCTTTGCCTAACTATTATGTCATTTATTGTGTGTATGTGGCGCGAGTGAAAGCAATGGTGGGCAAACCCTTTTTTCGGTGCAGTAATAAATATCTATACCGCACTTCTTGTTGATCCAGCAACAACTTAAACAAAATTACGCCAAATCTTTTATCTCACTAGGTGAGTCGGTTACGTTGTACCCTCTCGGTCGCAGAAAAAAAAAATCAAATTGAGCTTTTGTATTTATTTTAATACAAATTTAAAAACTTAATACGATGGTTTTTTTTTGTGAGACAGAGAGAGCATGATGTGCAATCGTAATTGGTGCAACACAGATCTGGTAGAAAACTAAGGCCTACTAAAATTAATGAAATACATTGATATGTCGCAACACCTTTGTCAATATGGTTTGTGCTAAACAATATAGCATTACCGCAAGAAAAATTGGCAAACTAGTAAGTAGAAACTGTGGTATGTACAAGTACAACATTTGTTTGTGTATCGACATCTTTCACAAAGGAGTCAAAAATCCCAAGTCGCTGAGCAGTGCTGAACCAAAAAACTGCTCCCCCTGGATTGTCGAAATTAAGGAAGTACTATTTCTATGTTCCTACTCTTTACCATTCACACAAAATATCAGTATTGTCTTTCATCTTCAAGCCAACAAAATTTCTGATGATCCGGGCTATAGTCTTTACAACGTGTTTGTTGTCATTGGAGACTTGGAACTATCTAGCACGATTTCGAACAAATCGCCTTCGGATTCTTCGTCGAATTCAACTCCCCCCCTGTTAATAATGTTGTTATTAGGAGTGTTACTGCTTTTGGTCGTGCTTCTGGCGAGCCATTGAGCGTCGATTCTTCCCATTGAGAAGAGTTCTCTGCTGTCATCGTATCCAATTACAGGAGAACTTGTAAGAGGGCCAATGAAGCATGGATTCGGAGTTCTCTGAGAGTTTGCTGGTGCATATTTGAAGGCACATTGTCCAAGATTTACTAGAACTGTAACGTCACTGTTTGCAGCCAATGTTGGGTACAATGGAGCTCCAAATTCTTCTGATTTGCAGTGGATTTCATGCACAAGGAATGAATTCACAGTAAAGAAAACCTTTTTCTGGGTTGGATTGTATCCACAACCGATCACTGAATCGGGTCTTCCCCATTCACCATTTTCGGACTCGAACACCAGTTTGATTCCTGCAAAAATGTTAACATCATCTTTCAAAATTCCACATTCCCAATTCCCAATTCCCAAAGCATCAAAAAAACACATCATAGAATCTTGACAAATAACAAAAGTTTGACACTCACTGATTGCTTTATTTTTGTGCTGGTGGTTAGTGCATTTTGTGTGAAAAGAATGATGCTACACATTTTGTTGTTCAAATATGTACCACTAGTGGGGAAAAAAAGGATTCTTTGGGGCATCATGTTTGACTCTATAACAGTTTCCTAACTCAACACATTTTTTTTTGTTCTGTTCCACTTTTGTGCTTTTTATAATAGTGCATTTTGAACTAGAAATGAAGGAGAAAAAACGTAAACGTACCATCAAGAAAAACGGAACCATTTGAATTGAAACCGATGGATCCCGGAAAACTGCCCGGAAACTTTAACGGAGGAGGGCCTCCGACAGCTAGTCCCACTGATAGCACGGCGCCACCAATTTTACCATCATCTTTCCCGACAAGCTTAAATTCCTCTAGCTTTCCATTGCCGTTTCCAATTCCATGCGCACTTGTAACATGGATTAAAGTCTCTGGATTCACTTTTGCGTTGAAATCTTCTTGAATAAGTTTTACTTTATCACTTTCCAATTTACCATCTCTCCTAACCCTGTCAACAACCGGGTCGTAATCATTTCCGCCGGACGGTAAAACTATGATCTCAAAATAGGCTTCTTGTGGGAAAGCTGATGAATTACTAGCACCACCCAACGGCGGACCGGGTAGCGGCAGAGCAGTCTTCACCACCGATTTTGCTGCCATTGAATTACTGATGACGATGCCTGAACTCGGAACCCTTTTCAACCCAGAATTAAGCCTGATTTTCTGCATGAAATCAGCCGATCCCGGGCAAACTTCCCAACTGATTTCCACATCAATTGATCTATCCTGATCGCCGGTGGCACATGGACTGAACAGAGCTTTCGCTGATCGAACCGATTGAGATGAAGTATAACCCGTGAAAGCAAATCTCGACCATCCATTCTCGACGGCATCAGTTACAAGGGAAGGATTCTCACTCCAGGCGAAAATCGGCGCCGCCGGCGATTGCCCACGTCGGAAAACGAAGTAATTCGTTTTCTTACTTCCATCTCGATCGAGATGATGAAGGCTCACATGGTGAAGCTTTGGTGTTCCGGGTCGCAACCTTTCACGAGCTGTGCTAATTTCCTCAATCATTTCAACCCTTTCTTTCCTCTTTCTTCTACAGCAGCAACATCGTACGACGATCAGAATTATGATGATTACCAGAGCCCCGATTGCTGCTGCTACACATAGAATTTCTAACCATTCCTGCATCTCTTTTTTGATCTTCAATCAACAAAATTCTTCTTTCAAACTCAAATTTGGGGAGACCCAAAATCTTAAAAAGGAGAAAAAAATCGGTTCTTTTGAGTTGGGTTAGATTGAAGAGAGAAAAGTACAAAGGAGAATGCGTCAGGCGTGGACGTGGACTGAAATTAAGAACGGTTCAAAGGAAGGCAACAGAGGACCAGAAAGAGTAAAATAATGTGTTTGTTGGTCTTTATAGGCAAACTGAGGAAAAAAAGAAAAACAAAAACGAAAAAAAGAGTTTAATGAAATGAAAGGTGGCATGCTGGTTAAATACGGTCACTACATTAACTCCTTTCTTTATTGACCAGTATCTCCTTGTCTCTTTCATGAATCTTTTTCTTATATTATCATGCTGAATTGATTTCCGTTTTATTAAAAAACCGACATTCAATAGCAAACGCGTTTGTTAATGTCCATTCTTCGTTAAAAATATTCGAGTTAGTCGACAAAATCGACTTCACATAGCTCCAAATGACGGTTTTAAGGGATGTATAAGAATGACACTTTCACGTTTCATTAAGTGTAAAAGACAATTTTGTTACCTTTATCTGCATGTTTTTGACAAATTTCTGAATTTATACACGTTATTTTGTAAGTACATTATTTTTTGCTTTTTGACTACCAATAAATGTATTATTAACAAAAGAAATTGTTAAATGAATGAAAAGAAAGAAATTACTTCATGTTCCCTTGTCCCATATGCATAGACGAAGACTCTTGAACTCAACATATGTACTCCATGTACTATTCCCCTGATTGCCAATTGGTTTTGAGGTGAAACCACATGTGGGCCTATATTTGGGTCTTCAAGATGATATCAGAGAGGGTTTTAATCCGCGGCCCTGTGGGACTTGTGGGGCGAGGTGGACTGACCCAGATTGGGCCTTGAAACTTTGATCGACCCACGGAAGATATCCGAAATTTGACTTTGAACTTCGACTGGCCCGACAGACGATGGTTTATCCAAGAGAATAACCGATTGCAAGACTGAAAAAAAAAATCAGAAAAAAAAATATAAAATTGTCCATAAAAAAAATCAGAAAAAAAATATAAAATTGTCCGTCCAAGCCCATTGGACTTGAGAGGGGCGTGTTAAATGAATGAAAAGAAAGAAATTACCTCATGTTCCCTTGTTCCACATGGATGGACGAAAACTCTTGAACTCAACATATATACCCCATGTGCTACTCTCCTCATTGCCAATTGGTTTTGAAGTGAAACCACATGTGGACTTATATTTGGGCCTTCAAGAGAAATACTACATAACACTTGCAACGATATGGTAGATATGTAGAAGATGTTCCGCTAAAGTCATTTTGTTGTTAGTTGATACTCACTTTAGACTCTATATCATGAATTTAATTGAACATTTTTAGACTAGTTTATCCAAATTTGGGCTCGGAACTATAATGAAAAGCAAGAACAATGTTTGAATTTTTGGAGTTAAAAGAATGTAGCTATCAATGAAGGTGGCGGTGTAAGGGTGCTTTGTTTGTTTTTTTCAATGGAGAGAGAAGCTATTTCATGCTTAGATAGGCCTTCTAGAGAAGCAAACCCTTGATGAGGATTGAAGGGTTTGACAAATTTTTGTGCAAGATTTCCTCGTGGGATTTCACTAATTACTTTTCGTCCTTTTTGAATAGTGAACAAATAAAAAGACAGTTTTTTGGGTTGAAAAAAAATGATGAAACCGATGGAGGGGAGAGAGAGACCATTGTCAAAAAAAGACAGTTTTTCTTCCACAAAGCACAAAATCAAACCAATTATGGCCAACGAAAGAAAGAAGCTTTCATCGTGAAAGGTAATGTTAGTTTTTTTGTCGACGGCAGTTAAATCTATTCAGGTGCCGGGGGGGGCATCAAATTTGTGAAAGTAGCAGTAATGAGTAATCATCTTCAAGCAAAAGCAGTAAAATTATTCTGTTTTACTAATCATCTTCTAGCACTATTAGTGAATGAATTTAGAAGACTAATCAAAAATATATTTCTTCGTGGGGCCTAAATAACATTGCCCTTTTCTCCTTGTGACTCTTAAGATTTAATTTGTTTCTTTCTCTATTGAATGTGTGAAATTAGTTATGGTGAGTGATTACATTAGTTTTAATCTATTGATACAACAATAACGCCGATACAACATAATAATGTGACGATCGTGTCTTATGCATTCATTTGAGAAGCTGAACTTCACTATTTGTACTTCTACCGAAATTTTTTTATACAGTTTATCTATAGTGAAATCAAAGAGACACATATGGATATGCAAGATCCACAAATATTATTTGGTCACATGGTATGTTTCTTTTTTCCCTTTAATGCTCTAATCTTCAATGTAAGACAAAAGAAACACATGCACCAGATTTCCTTTCAGGTTCATCAAGGCTCTCAGCTCTTTTAACACTTTTTTTTTTTTCAACTTCATTTCTTCTTTCTTCTTGTTCTGCATTTGGAAAAAGTTTTTAGTTGATTACACTAGACAAAAAGGGAAACAATTAATAACCATAATTACTAATGAATTATCACAAAAGAATGTTATAGATTTTTATTTTTATTTTTTTGCGTTAATTAGTGCATTCCATAATTAAAAATTATTAGCTTCAGCCACAGTAGACAGACCTTCCAGCTGACTTGGATAAAAAAATTGTAGTAGTAAATCATATCCATTAAAGCATTCCCCCCACCAATTTTTCAGCTACTCAAGACCAATTATTGATTCTAACACATTATGATTCATTTAAGTTTTATTAACAGCACGGAATGGTATTTATCCAACTCATGACTTTATACTCTTGATCTTGTTTGTCTTTTAAATTATTTTATTCCATTCGTCCAAAGTCCCAACAAATGAGGCAATCATTTTAGTATGTAAAAGTAAAAGATAATCTATATTTTATATATTAAAGAAGAGTTTTTAATCAACACGTGTTGTGCTAGATGATCTAAAGATCTAACTGACACGTGCCATTTCCACGACCCTCCTTCATTTAACAGTTTTAAAAAAAGGTAAAATATTAAAACTCAAAAATTAACATTAAACCTTAAATCCAAAATTTTACTCATTATCAAAATGATGTTTTAATCTCTGTAGGCATTCACATACAACTAAATAGGAATTTATTTAAGGAATTACATTAATTGACGTATCATCAACATTAACATCCCATAAATGAAAAATATTAAAATCTACAATTTAAAAGTTTAAACTAAACCTTTTTTATTCTTACTAAGGATTGTACTTTGCAAATTATTAAACATTGCTCTGGATGTTGTGATAACATGTACTAGATGCTTAGCCCGGGCAGATGTCCGGGCGCCCCCTCTACTTTAATTTTGTGTTAATAAATAAATGAATTCTTGATTTGAAAAAAATAAAATAGTTACACATTTGTTTTTTTCCCTTTTTTAGCCAGAAATAAAAATAAAAATAAAAAAATCATCTGCAAAAGGAGAAAAAAATATTGAAAAGTACAACGATACAGAAATCATACAAAAGAATGTGGAGTAATGAACGGGATAAGTTTATGGGCAAATTTAAATGCTATCTTAATTTAATTGATAAATGATAAGTGTTAGGAGTTAAAATTGTGTAGTTATTTTTGTAAAGTAACTTTTGTTTCTTTGGATAAAATTCTTTTTTCTCTTTTAAAAAGGGATAACACGTGGCAAAATGGTTAATGCAATATGGTGCATTTGGAGCCAAAATTTTTTAATAAAAAGTTGCCACATCAACATCATGTATTCTACTTTAATAGGGTAAAAGGGATATATAGTTGATGTGGAGGAGTTATTTATGTTAATAAAATATGTAGACGATTATCTAAAATAAAACATAATCTTTTTTTTTCCTCAAAAAGCATATTTTGGCATCAAATATGTCATTTAGTGAGATGTAGAGTTTATTAAGAAGTTACATCTTCTTCCCCAATATTAACACAAACTTTTTTTTTTGGGAAAGAATAATATAAATAATTTCTCACCATCTTCGTCAAATGATTTATTATTCGAATTTCAAATATGATTAATTTCCCAAGTTAAAGGAATCAATACTTTTTATATTAAAGAAGAGTTCTTATTTGACACGTACTGCTCAATGAGATATTTTATCAAAAATGTATTGTGTAGTTAGTTTAGTAAATAAGTAAATTTATAAAAGAGTGGAATGAGATCTTAATTACATGGTGGTAAAGTTCTAAGTGGATTTTTCTAGAGATTTAGGAGTTCATTCTCAGATACGTGGAGTGATTTTTCCCATATGAAATATGTGAGTGCTTTTTCACACATTTATAACCGGAGTCTATTTCTTTTAAAAAAATCATATTTCCATTGAGGAAAAACCTTATATATATATGTCATTTTTTAGGGAAAGATAACAAAAAAATAATATTAAAGATACGGGGTTTGAAACATTATATATCTTTACATTTATTTATTTTCATTTTGAGTTTATTAAAACTTCTCTTGTGAGATTACTAAATTTATCTGAAAAAATTTATGAAGTTACATTACAAACTTATTATATATTTTATCGGTTGTTACTTCTAAAATTTTACTACAATGAGTCATACTAATATTTTATCCTTCAAATATACACTATTTTGAATAGAAATATAAAATGCATTAAAAAAAGATGAATTTAATTTACACAATACAGGTAAGAATTATTATATCATAAACCAGACACAAATTTTATCATATTGTGATGATAACATTTGGCTCACATATAATCATAATTTTACAATTTAGCATAATTCATGTAACACAATTCATACGACGCACAGACATACTTCTAATAGTAGTATTATTTTCCACAAAGTTATCAATAAATTGAATGCAATTCACAAAAATTTAATATACTCTAAGTTGAATGAAATTCTTTAAAATTTAATATACTCTAAAGAAAAGAGGTTGGGTAATGGAGCTGCTCTGTTTTGTCCCTTTCAAATTTGCATAAAGAAGGAATAAGTAGTTAGGGAGAAAACTAATCTCATTCAACATACATATTTAATGCGAAGGGAAAATGGGTCTTTTCATCCAAAAATTTGGGTCACACCATCCAAAATATCCCAAAGTTTAAGAACATGCCATTTACATCCCAAACTTTTTATAAACATGTTACATTAGGATATTCGTTAAATTTTTAAGTCCAGTTAATTAATTAATGGTGGTACTTTATTCTGTTTCTCTTCCTCCAATTCTTTTAATCATTTAACACGTTTCACTAACTCTCACCTTATAAGAAAATAGCTAAACCTAATTTGGTCTTCACATCATCCATTCTTCCCTTGCTTAGAAAAAAAAAAATCGAAGATTCACCTTCTAGATTGATAACAATCTTGAGAGGTTTTATGTGTGTCCTAATTACAAAGTAAGCCCTATTTCATTTATTTTTTTAAATATATAGCATCATTATAAAAATTGGTGTTGTAATTGATGCAGGGACATGCAACCTTTTTGCTTGGCATGGACCAAATTTACCAAACGTAAGCATGAAACTTTTTTGACTAAAAAAAATGGGGAAAAAGAAACTGAATGAAATATCGCCGTTAATAACTTGAAAAAATTAACAAATGTCCTAATATTACATATTTTTGAAAATTTTGGGATGAAAATAACATGATTTTAAACTTTGAGATATTTTATGTGGTGTAGCTCAAACCTTGGGATGAAAAGGCTCATTCTCTCTTAATTCGAATATTGTACTCTCTTCTCATATCAAACACACTTGTTTTCCACTTGTTTCCTTCACCTTTACTTTCAACTTCAAAACTTGATGGTTTCAATTGTGCCTTCGTCTAACACCACCAGTCCATATGATGGCACATGGATGAAACATGTAATCGGTCCCAATAAGGAGAGCATTCAATCAAATTACTCGATTTGAATCGTATTTAATCTCTAATCTTATATAATGTACACGGGTAATTACATCGGTTAAAGTGACTAATTTCTATATGATCGAGATAGTAAAGCAGTACATCTCTTGGTTATTAAATTCGGTAGTTTAATTTAGTACCACATTCACCTTGATAATTAAACCTACCAAAAAGGAGCTCGCCCTTTCACAATTATCCAAAGTACCAAAAAGTTGCATCTTTGGAAGGATAAAAAAAAAATTGTAAGGAAAGAAAAAGCGTCACCAAAGTGATTATAAAAAAACATTTGGAAAGTTCTAAGTGCACGAAATCAAATTGGATAACCGTAGGCAAAAACAAAACCATATAAATAAGAGCTTGTCCAATCCCAATTGCTTCATTTTACGGGACAAAAAGTATCCCGGAAATGATGAGATATGTAGGACATAATTGATCTCGGAATTAATCTCGGAGATCGGAAAAGAGTTTTGAGATGTCGTCAAGAATGAATCAGCAGACAGGCTTAAAATAATGGGCTAAAAAAAACATGTTACCTCATCATTATTGGGCTTGTTTTCTGGAACTTGGACTGGTCCAAAGCCATTCGAGTGCTCGTGTTCGGCTATGGTATCCAATATAAACACTCGTCCCAACGAATACATGAGCACTTCCACAGTCTGTGCGCATCACATATGATGAAAGGTTCTACCAAGAAATTTGGTAGCATTGATGATGATGATGATGATGATAACACGCAGTAACTTCATTCAGATGATGATGATGATGATGCTTCTCATCCCAGCTAGAGAAGCACCAGTTCAACATGTTCAGGCAGCAATTCATTAAGCTGTTCCTTAGCAATGTTGGTACGTTCTCTATAGATTCCAGCCTTCTCTGCATTATAGACAGGAAGACCTTCACTTAAATCCCGAGGTTCAATGACTAAATCTCTCCAGAGCAACCCCATTTTCTATGAAATACTCAACAAGTTCCAACTTCTACCCTACTTCCACGGTATCCCCAGAACTCTACAACCTTAAAGATGTTTAAGGGGAAATGCTATGCCTTTCTTAGAAACTGTGCGTATTTTGTAGCCAGGAACACCAGGCCACCAATGAAGCTTCAGGACGAACTTCTCCAAGCTGGGGGATGCCCTTATTAGAGAAGTATATGCAATCAGGCTTTTGTCCCATGCCAAATTAAGAATCACATAGAAACTTAATTGCTTCAATTGAGTCAACTGAGGTAGAGCGCGGTGTTTGTAGATTCCTAGGATGACCAAACAGAAAGACACAAAGGATCAGTTCATACTGTCTCACAAAATAAACAAAAAAAAAAAAACTTCAAGGCCATTAATTGATAAGGTAAGAACCTCCAATTTCGACAGGCAGCCAGAAAGCCATGAAATAGCACGATCGACCAAGTTTAAATTTGAATTGACCCCCCAAACGAATCCACCAACAAAAACATCCACAATCATAGGAACATTCTTAAGCACCATAACATGACCTTGGGTGGTTTTTAAGTGAAACAATATTTGTATCGCAAATAGTGAGCGAACTCAATTTGGGACAGCATACTATCTCAAGATGTTTCAGTACAAGAGATGGGCAATTTTTCAGATAGGAAGAATTATGCACTGGGAGAGACTCGAGAAAAGGGACTCGAGAACTTCCCGGGACACATTTACACAAGTAAATGCCAAGGTCCTAAGGGACTTAAAAGCCAAAAGATATTGCATCAGAAATGAAGCCATAGGTATTAGAAAGGGATGATGCAGAAGAATTCGTATCACTGAGCCCAAGCAGGTCCTGCGGAAAAGCATAATTTCTGATATCCATTCCTTTAAATGTATATTGACACAAATCCAAAACTAGCATGCAAACTCTTCTAGCAAAGGCATAACAGAAGCCATTTATAGATATGGTTTCTGGAAGTTTCGTTCAGGAAAAAAAAAAGCGAATTCTGAATACATCCCAAACAACAGACTTGTGCGATTGGACCACCTTATTAACCCATTCAACATTCTCGTGACGATTGCTCTCAAGTACTGTTGCAGAATTCGGCTGAACCGTATCAGCCATCCCTTTCCAAAATTTTTGAGAGTCAAAATCTAGTCTAGCAACATTCAACCAAAGATCTCTCCAACGTTTTGACAAAACACTCGTCTCGATAGCATCTTCAAGTGTCAAAAACGAAAGGGTATGGACAAGAATTTCATTTGGAAGATGACTTATTCGGTCAGGTGGCTGCTCTTTCTTTGCGCACTATTTGCAGAGGCAAAATACATACATAACACAAGAGTTAAGAAATTACTACAATTTACAAGTAGACTGTAAGGATACTAAAGATATCAGCAAGACGTTTTACCTTTTTGAGTCGAAAATCAGATGTCACCTTTTTGGCCTTCAACGAATCCATTATTTAAGTTTTGTACTGCTAGTACTAGAATCATCACAAAGAAAACAAAGGCCAACTTCGTTAAATCATCACAGATGAAAAAAGATCTATGCCCTAGCAAATCAAAACCGGAGAAACAATTTCTTATCAGATCAAAACAGGGGAAATAATACAGGAATATATGCACATAAAAAATTTGATCTTGGGAAGATATTGTGAAGGATTGAGGTTTGAAAGAAAATAGTTTTGTTAAAATTGAGAGAACTGCTACTCACATCTGCAGCTGGCCGCTGTGTTCTCAAGGAATGCAGGACACTTTGGCTTTCCTTCAGCAGCTGGTGGCTCCTTTTCCCTTTATTTTTCCGCTTAGCTTTTTTCCTTTATGCTGAGCTGAACACTTTGGCTTGCAAAAGTAATGGCATAGTTCTAATGGGCTATGGATTTTTACTCTAGAGTAATACTGTCAGGTCAGAGGCATATGTTCAACAAGAGGAGAAGAGAAGGAATTGACATAAGATTGAAGAGTTTAGGGTTTACAGCAACTGGAATCCGGGAAGATGAACCGAGTAAAGTGGAAGATCATCGACTCTGGCTTATATAGTAGTGTTCGGGAAAACTAAAAATTTATTAATTTAAAAAAATTATTAAATAGTAATCAAATTAGTAATTTAAAGAATTTCTACTAGAAAAAAGACCCTCATTAAATTAGTTAATTTGTAATTATTTTCACATCAAAATCAATCAAGTATTAAAACTCTTCCACTACTAAAAATTCACACATAGTTCATATCATCTTCAGGGAATAGAAAAAAAGTTTTTTTTTTTTTTGGAAAAGAAAAAGAAAAAAAAACAAGTATCAATAATTCATATTTTACTAAATATTTTTAGTTTTTTTTTTTTGCATTTATGGTATTTATTATTATGGTATTTTTGGAACATATAAATATATGAGAAATTTTATGAAACATTTTTATCTTATTATTTTATCAATTCTTTCACTTTTTGCATTGGTTCTAAGTTGAGATCGGAGAAAATTATTAATTGTTATAAGTTATTAATTTATAAATTATTAGTTTTTCAACGTTATACTATATCTAATTCATACCATTCATTCGAACGGGTATCAGAATACGGTACTAAATGCTGATTGGGAGATGAACCACGGCTTATCACGACCGAAAAGTAGGTCCGACCGAAATTGAAAAGAAGAATATATTGGGAAAAAAATAGAAACTGTAAATTTTCACACATTTTTCTTCTATAACCGTCATCCACCGGAACTAACAACTTTTATGCTTGCTGTAGCCTGTAGCTATCAATTATTACACAGTTGCTACACAAGTCTTTATAAATTTAACTAAGTTTGTTCTAGTCCTCGTCATGACACAGCTCCATGTGAAATTAGGTCCAATAATTTTGGATGGCTGAGTTTCTCTTTCTATCTCTAAGTTTCTCCTATGAACTTACACAATTGCATTGTATTCAAAGGGACTTTGCCCAATGGATCACAAAATAAATAATATGGGTACTAAAAAGTTAAGGAACAGAATCTTAATAGTCAACACTCATAAACAACAAGCAGAAGAACAATCGAGGATGTAATACAGAACTAAAATGTTCCATCTTTCAAAGATTCACTTCTACAAGGGCAAAAAACTTCCATTTAGAAGATGTTACGACTGCACCCAGGGATGTTACCTATACAGTGAAAGAAGAGATGCCGACAATTAATTTTCCAGACCAAATTAAGCAAGAAATAGAGCGAGCAATGCCATACTCGATTTTGGTCCACTCTTAGGGTAGAAGCAGTTTCCTGGCAATTCACAAACAGGCAGTGGCTCTGTGGTACCCAAAGAGTGAGATACACTTAGTTGACTCAACTGATGCTTATCACATCATCCGTCTAACTCACGAAGAGGATTACTATAATACTCTTTTTAATGGACCGTGGTTAATTATGGATCACTATATCACTATTATTCCATGAAAAATGAACTTTGATACAAAAACAGAGAGCATTTCGTCTAGATCAGACTCTGGGGCTTCTAGTCCATTACTTTCAAAGCAATTTTCTCTGTGATATTGCGAAACCACTGGGTAAGTATTTCTTGAAGCCCAAAATATAAGCTCACATGCGATTTCACATCAATAACTAATTGACAATGAGAAGACTAGCAAATGGGCTACATACACAGTGGGACAAGTATCTTTCACTTATTTTTTGTTCAAAGGAGATTTTAACACTCCCTCCCAACCCAAAGGGGTTGGCCAAGATGCCTTCAAACCATTGAAATTTTGTTTTTGAAGCCCATTTCGGCTTTTTTGATTTTTATTTGAAGGCCCATTTCGAGTTTTTGGTTTGTTTGAAGGCCTATTTCCGGTTTTTCGAGTTATTTAAAGAACCATTTCGGTTTTGGGTTTTTTTGTCCCGGATAAACAGTCAGATCAGTAAAAATCTACCCACAAGTCCACATGATTAAAATCTACTCTAATAGCATCTTGAAATGAAAGACCAAATATAAGCTCGCATATGATTCCACATCAAAACCAATTGACGATGAGGGGAGTAACAAATGGGGTTTATATGTTGGTTTTAAGTGTCTCCGTCTTTTATATAGGACAAGTACCTTCCACTTGTGTTTTTGTTTAAAGGGGATTTTAACAGTACTTGAAAGTGGCTAAAAACACCTTGCTAGCAGAAAGAGGTAGGTATACCCGCATTTCCGTCGAATTGGACCTAACCAAACTGCTAATTGATAAAGTCATAGTCAATAAAAAGGTGTATACGATAGAATATGAGGATCTGTGCATAATTTGCTTATGTGGAAAGTATGGCTACAAAAAAAAAAAAAAAAAAAGAATGCTCTGCTTCACTGGCCGACCATCGGACATCAAAACCCGAAAGGAATGCATCAGCAGAATCAACGGTAAGGAGATTAATGGTAAACAAGTCTCAGCGGATAATTCTAGACAGACAGAGTAGCACGCCTTCCAATGTAGCCAAACAGTCATCCAAATATGGGCGAGTGAAGTTACACCGCAGAAAAAAGGAAGGAGAACCCCTCAGAGAGCTCAATCATCAGGTACCTCATAATCAATACCACAAAGCAGACCCAATAAGGACCCTCGTCATCCAGCAAACCCCTTCACTCATCTGGCTGGTGTGGAGGGTGATGCGTCGTTTTCACGACCATCACCAATGTCGACAACATGTACGGTGTTTAATTTTTCACCCAACCCTAACGAATCTTTTCAATTTTTTTTATATATATAAATAGGTAGTTGCGGACTGTTTACATATCCGTTGCAAAAGAAGCTGGAACAGTCATTATTGACAATTGTTCAGTTTTTTGTTAATATAATGGATTAAATCAAAATGACTCATATAAATTCTGACGATTGAACCATTCATCAAAACATGACCTAATTTGTAGTAGTACCTAAAAATTCACCCACAAATACATTGATGTTCAGTGAGAATGTATTAAAATTCTTTGAACACGTTAATCATTCAATAAACTAACTCCATGTTTGGCCACAAATCTTTCAAGAAGCTTGTGTGAATGTAACTGGGGTGACGTCACCCAACCGTCCCCGTTGGGGGCCTATATACATTTATGCAAAAATTAATTGATCATATATATATATATGTATAATACTTGTTTTATCTTGAAATAATTATCTAATTTAGTTCAAATTTTATTAAAAGTAAAATTTGAAATAGAAGAATAATCATTTTGAAACAAAAAAAAAGTATGGATAACGAACTCAAAATTTAATAACCACGAGTCTGAGAAAAAAGAAAAAAAAAAAAGGAATCAAGATATCTAGTAAAGTACAACATAACAATACACTGATTTTTGGAAGAGTTAGAGAGCCAAACGACGGAGAAGTCGATATTGACATCCCGGAAGACCTTCTGGTGAAACAAACAGGACTCTTGTTGCTTTGATTTGTGATGCTATAGAAGACAACATGTACCTCTAATTATATAATACTATTTTTTTTAAATAGTGGTATATTTTCGTTAATTGCATATTTTTCGGGGTTCAGCGATGGAAGATTTGGAAATAGGATTCAGTAGATAAGGTGTCGGGCTATAGAGTTTTAATTTCAATGAATTAGTGGTATTGGTTTGGTAATTGTTATTTACAATTGTTAGATCTTAAACAAGTGTTCTAACTGAAAAATGTGTTAAAGAACATGTTAAGAACCTAAAAAAAATTAGTTCAATGCTAAAATTTAATGTGGTTAGATATAGAACTACACTTTTAAAAAATATTTGTTTACATATTTTTTTTGATACTTTATTAAAATTATTACCATTTTTTCATATAAAAGTTGCCCCGAGAAATGCTTCCAATGTTGCTATATATGTCACCCACGTTATCTGCTTATAATCAACAAATTTAACATAACTTTGAGAACCATAAACATGAATTTAGACCAATTATTTCACCCATTGGGTCATCTACCACATAACGAGTGAATTAGTGCAATTATAGATAGACATCGTGATATATTGGAGGGGGGGAAAATCGACTTTATTAATAATTGTTACAAAAGTAGTCCAAAGGGTCGTTATTTATAAGTGTCCTTAGGTCATCTCCAACACGTACTGAAAAAGCTTCTTTTCCTGCATTTTACAGTATCACATATCTTCAATCGGTAATGTAAATATTACTGAAAAATCCAGTTCCGGTGATGGCTACGACAATTGCAGCGTAAATTCTAAATAGATGCTACCAGTATTCACGCGGGGCTAATGTCCACCCCTTTTCTTTGCTTCCCCATTTTCTTTCTCTCCTATCTTTTTGTTCCCCCGTTTTTCATTAACTAATTAAAATTTATATTTTTATAATTATAACTATTAGTAATTGTGTTACAATTTCCTTATGATGTCGAGTAATTTTATCAGTAGTAATATTTATTTATTTTTTTGGCTAATTAATGAACTTAATTGCTTAACAATTAATTACAGAATATAAAAATAAATCATAAAATAAAAGGTAAAATTAGATATACTAAAGTAATTAAAATAAAATAAGAAAAGGTATAAAGGAATATGAAGAGAATATTCTTTTTTGAGTAGAATTTAGAGTTGTTTTGTTGGAGTAAAATTACTGGAGCATAGTGTAGATACTGTAATTTTTAGAGTATGTTGTAAGAGTAGTGGGTAGGAAATGGCCTTATCCTTCATTCTCCTCTCATTCTCTGGTACTCCTTCTGTTCCAAAATTATTGTCCAACTTGAGATTTCACTTTTAGTACAATTTGAATTAGAAATGAAAACTCAAATTGGACAATAATTATGGGACGGAGGGAGTAAAAAATAATTACTCTATCTGTCATGAAATTATTTTTTACAAATTGAAATAAAATTGAAAATCCAAACTAAGCCAAAAGGAAAAGAAAATTGTAATCACCCGCGTCCAAATATCTGAAAGCGCGGACTCTGTACAACCATTATAATTGCGCCTCTAATTAAAAGCGCGGAAGGAACACAACAACACGTCGGCGCCTTTGGGATTTATCACCTTCTGGCTTCTAGTAGGTAGTTTTACTAACAACTAAACAGGACATTTGTAGTTGGAGCTGAGGAGGATAATTCCTCCACCGCCCTTAGCCTGTTAGCCACCGGAACAAAAGGCGATCTCCATCCAAATCCGCCACCATGATTAACACCTTCCGCCCCTCCCTTGAACCCCAGCAACTCAGTTCCTTATCCTCCCTTCCATTTTTCCGGTCCGAAATTCAAAAACCCAAATCCCTTCTTTCCCATTTCACCCCTCAGAAACCCCCAAAACTCCCCTCATTATCCCACTCCAATTCTCCCCACAAGAATTCCACCATAAATGCCTGCGGCGCTTCAAACTGCGAAATCGATATGGTAAGAAACAGGGAAGGCGTCTACTCAGCAAAGCCTAAAAAAGTTGTGGTCTTGTGGGACTTGGATAACAAACCGCCGCGTGGGCCGCCGTACGAGGCGGCGATGGCCCTGAAGAGGGTGGCCCAGCATTTTGGCGAGGTGGTGGATATCTCGGCTTATGCCAACCGCCATGCTTTTATTCATCTGCCGCAGTGGGTCGTTGAAGAAAGGCGGGAAAGGAAGCGTATTGACATTATGGAGCGTAAAGGTATTTCTACTCCTTCTGAGCCTTACATTTGTTCTGTCTGTGGCCGAAAATGTAAAACCCATTTCGATTTAAAGAAGCATTTTAAGCAATTACACGAGAGGGAGAGGCAAAAGAAAGTGAACAGGATGAGGCAGCTGAAAGGCAAGAAACGACAGCGGTTTAAGGAGAGGTTTATCGATGGAAATGACAAGTATAACGAGGCGGCAAGGACTTTGATTTTCCCGAAAGTTGGGTATGGATTAGCCTCTGAGCTTAGGCGAGCTGGAGTTTTTGTGAAGACTGTGGAGGATAAGCCCCAAGCTGCTGATTGGGCAGTGAAAAGGCAAATGCAGCATTCAATGAGTAGAGGGATTGATTGGTTGTTTTTGGTTTCGGATGATTCAGATTTTTCTGATATGTTGAGGAAGGCCAGGGAGGCTAATTTGGGGACTGTGGTTGTTGGTGATGGGCACAGGGCATTAGGGAAGCAGGCAGATTTATGGGTGCCATGGGCTGGTGTACAGAATGGGGAGATCACTGAAGCTGATTTGGTACCTAGGAGGAGGAGTGAATTTACCGAGAAGAGTGACAGGAGGTTTTCGGTTAGTGAATTTGATGGAGGATTAAACAGGGGGGAAAGTACGGTCAGCTTTGTGGATGAGCTTTTTGGTAGTACGGAATTTGGTGGAGTAAGATATTCTGCATTTTCTGAAGGGGAGGAGGAAGACGATGAGGACTGGCTAAGAATTGAAATCAGAAACTCCACTGATGATGGCGGCAATGATGATGAGAACGGAGACTACTTGTTAGATAGCGAGGATGAATGGACGCCAGAGGATGGCTATGTCTAAGTAAATGCTAGAATAGCCATTCGTTTTGCTGTCACTATGGTATGAGGTTCATATTGATTTTTTGATTGATGCAAATTATGCGGTAAATGTTCTTGGGTGCAAGAATTGATTCTTAATTATGTGCTGAATTGGCACCTAAGTATTATTGATTCTCCATTGAAGATGTCAAAATTTATTGACTGAACTTATCACGAGAGTTCACGCCTCGCGTACTTTTGGTCTCAGGTACTTGACCTTGTACCTGTTAACATACACTTGGAAAACAATTATTAATCAGATGGCTATTGTTTGGAGGAATTACTTCCAAAATCTTTGGTAAACCCAATTGTACATTTGTTACTGAACTTGATTATATGTTGTAGTTTTTGAATGTTTTTGTACAATTTGTAGCAATAGGAGCAAAGGTTTCTGGTCATTTCCCAAATAAGGTTTTACACCCTCTTTTTGCCAGTCATTATATATTTATATGTTATCTGGACATGCTGATGCTGATTGACTTCCTGCATTTCTATTTGTTGGGTCAGAAACCTGGTAATGGTATTCAAATTAAACAACACGTAAGATCCAGTGGGTAATGAGTTTTGCAGAGTAGATTTTCTCAATATTCTTTTTCATTGAGTATTTTGAATATGTAATGATCTATCAAGGATAAAACACTAAATTATGGCTCATTGAAAACCTTTGACTAATGAGCTTCTTGCTCTTTTAACATATTTGTAAGCCTCCGTATATGTTCCTATTGCCGCTTTGAATCATCCATTTCAGTTGAGATTTTCATACTCATACTGTTCCAAATGGCCTTGCGATTTATACTTTTCATTTCAAATTATATTCGCATGAATATAATTGTTACATGGTGAGTTCTAGTCTGTTACGAATACACTATTATATAGTAGGGACTTCGTTACAAACATATTAATTGTCTTAGGACTTATGTGATAGTGAATGTATTATTAAGGTCTAGTTGTTAATTATTTCTATTAGCTCTTTTATGATTAAACAGTAGAGCACTTCCTGTAATGAGGATTATGAAGAAAATGAATTAAAAGTTCTGAATTTTCTCTGTCCCATTTCTCCTTCTTCCCCGTTCAACTCTCATCCCCCCCTAACCAAGGGTCTCTTCCTCAACCTCTCTGATTCTAACTCTAATCTCCCCCTCTCACCATTCTTTATGCATCATAGTCTGATAGAAAATTTAAAATGCCTGATGCACTCTTTAGAAACTCCCAAGGGTTTGGGTAGTTCAATGATTCCTTCTTGCAATATGGATTTGTATCTGTCCAAACTGGTGCAGCTTATTCATATTTAGGTTTGCATTACTTTCTCATTTTGTGCAAAATACATCATTGCTAGTAAGGAAAGGGCTTCCACGACAATGAGGTCCTTAATGCATGGGCTTGGACTTTATTTGTGACAGTTCATGTAGGCATGGTCATTCGGTCCTTCTTGAAGATGGGCCCTTGTGGGCAGCCAATGCGTATAAGCATGTTGTGATCAAATTCTCCAGCTGCTGTTTCCTGGTAAATTGTACATCAGGAGTTGTATTTCTCAAAATAGACTTTAGCTTCTTGAAATCATAGTCGGTGCAGCTTAATGTACTATAAGTCCCCAAATGATTGTCCATTTTGTTACTCAAATGAAAATCCAAACTGAGGACAATCATTTTGGGACAGAGGGAGTATTTAAAAAATTTATGCCTATATACAATTCATCTGGGATTGGATATGCAGGGTGACATAAGGATTTTTATCTTCTTTCTGCAATTAAATTTGAAGTACGATGGTAATTGTAGTCCCCAAGTTTGATTTTTCAGTTGGCATGTGTTCCAGTAGCAGATATTGCCTAATAGTAGAAAACCTTCCATATCACTCATGCCCGTTACTTTCACCTTTGTGTCTATCATGAGATCTTATATAACTTGTATGGTTATTATTTGTGCAAACGAAACAGAGGTTTCTTTTCATTGCAGCTGATGCTCTGTAAATGTAACCAAATGGCAACTACAGATGGGGAGAGAGAGAGGTATATACATTGTAGTGGCCTAAGTTGTAACAAAATCATTAGTCCCTTGATTTTCTATCTAGGTTATGATCATGAAACATTATATTATGATTCAGTCACTAGAACTCTGGTGTTTGGCAGATTTACCTACTGTTGTTGATCTTTTAAAATGTAGTTCTGCAGAAAATAGTCCTGACTCCTGAGTAGAACTTGCGATGATATGGATTCTAAGAACCATTTTAATATCTTTTGATTCTATAGTTTGATCAGACGCTAATAAACAGTTTTAGTGACTTCGATGTGGAACATTGTTTTACATCTACGGAACATCTTTTGATTCTGGCTTACTGGTGGAACTCGCAAGTGTACCAAACTCAACTCCCCTCCCCAACCAGTTTGGGTGTATGATCGTTTGGGTTTATGATCGTTTTCTTCATCTATTGAGAATGATGTCATCGAACATACAAATGTAGGTATTGCTCCTGGGAATTTCTCTCAAAGAGGAGCCATCTCTTGCACTAGTTGTAAATATCAATTTCTTGTGAATCTCACTAGGTCGTGTCTCAGTCTATGTTTGAAAAAACACACGAATACATTGGTGCTTGTTATATCACCCTTTGTAGAAAAATACTTTTTATCCTCTTGTATCAAAACAAGATATCGTGCTTGTTTGGACGTCATCTTACATTTCATTTTGCCACTTAAAAGTAGAAAGTGTTTCAAGTTGAAGACTAAATAGGAAATGAAAATGTTGTTTGGATGGTATTTTGAGCAAAAAGTTGTTTGGATATTGGTTTTGAAAAAAATATTTTGAACTACATTTTAAAAATATCAAATACGAGTCATCACTAAACAATTAAATATTGTCAATTATAGTTATTGCAAAAAAAAATTTTTCCAAAAACAATCACTCAACAACATAATCTTGTCGAATTTGTCACTGAACTATCTGTAATTCTAAAATGGTCATTACACGAACATAAAGTGTTTCAAGTTGGAATTTAAAATGTAAAATAGAAAGTTGTAAGGATGATATTTTTTTTTCCATTGAATTTTGTGTTTAAGAGGTAAAATAAGTTAAAATGTAAAATGAGTGCTTGGAGGAAGGGAAAAGGTTTTGGCGTAAGTGCTAAGCCGGCTAGGTTTCAACGGAACGTTAACTGCCTGATTTCGGTAGTATTGGTTTAAAACAGTTGATGAGTTGACACTTCACTGTCATGGATCACCAAGTCCCACACTACATATTTTGGATGCTAGTGATCAATCGGTGATAGCAAAGTGTAACAACATACCATCCATCCAGACAACAAATTCTATCTTTCATGTTGACTCCGCAAAGTAAGAACACCATTACCTCCTTATCTTTTTCTTCGATGATACATCCATTCTTTCCCGTATGTTAAATAATCTCTCCGTTCAGAAATGATTATCAATTTCTCATATGCGGCGTAAAGGGAGTATAAATTAACTAATTAAGTGGATGGGGAAGACTGCCGTTTTCCCATTATGGACTTGTGTTTAGGTGTGATGGCGGCTGCAGCAGAATGGGAAATTATTATGGATTTGCCTTCTTTCCTTTGGGAAAAAGGCCGGAAAAAAAAGATTTGATAGGAATTGCAGCCTGATCAGTAACAGTAAATTAGATTAGCTAGAAGCGCATGATCATTTTATTTATACTTCCATTAATTAATGTTGCAGATTTCGGCGGCCTGATTGCCCAAAAATAACTCTTGTCGGCAACGCCCAGATGCTCCCTCCCAATAGGTGGATTAGGGGCTGCTGCTCTCTTCGTTTATTAGTACTCTCTTTATTTGCAATTTTAGCATAATCTTTGCCAATGAACAAGAACATGGACTAGGAATTAGGATCTTTTCCATTCGTCTACGAGGACCGACCAACTTTTTCAACAGAGCATCTGTTACTGTAACCAAATTCTTAATGTACATATTCTTTTATCTTCCAAAATGAATGTCGATGTACAAAAGTTACCTTCGTGATATGACAATGGAGGTTTAATTTCAATTTTTAAGGTCAACTTATTAGCACAGACAGTATACTCTTGTGCTCCTAAATTTCATGTCATTAAACTACTGTTTCATTTGTCTCAAAGACTCAAAACTATAATTGTCATATCTTTTACTTTTAGTATATTCGATCCAAAAAAAGAAAATTCAAATTAGACAATTATTTTACCCTTTTTAAAATATATGTCGTTTTAGGATTTGATGAATTTTTTTAAATATATGTCGTTTTCACAAATCGAGTCATATTTGACCACTTTTTACCCATATTACTCTTGCATTGGAAATGAAACAGCATTTATAATGAATTTTTATTGGTTTATGATGGACTATATAGACAATAAATAATGATATTTTTGTATTTTAACTACATTAATTAATGTTTTCTTAGTTTTGATGATTTCTTTAGAAAGACATATAAAAAAAATAGAAGGAGTAAGATGGAAAAAGCATTATTTATTGTGTGGTCGGAAAGTCCTATATTCTGAATTCTCAATGTTCTCTACATTTCCAAAACAAAAAAAAAAAAAGAAAAAACAATTTATTCACCACTGACCTAGCTGGCCACTTTGCACATTCTACCTCATCTCATAACTCATAAGTATATTTCATAATCAGATCAAGCAGTTGGGCGCGCTAATTGTACTTATCCGTCGATGAAATCTCGATTATAAAGTGAAGAATAATTTTTTTAATATGTATATACAAAGATCATTAACCTTTTTTCACTGATACTGCTGTCAAAATGAAATAAACAAATAATAAAGTCATAGAAAATGTGATAGCCACTTGTCAACATAAGCTACAATCATAATTCCCCACTTGGACTATCCCCTCCACAAAATCATGTCAAACCCAGATGCATGTATTTGCATTTATCTATTCAAGTTGAATATGAAGAAATTGGGATAGATACACATAACAAGCTTTTTTCTTCTTCTTCTTCTTCTTCTTTTTTTTTTTTCTCTGTTTAGAGCATGATTGAATGTTTAAAGAAAAGAAGTTAATTATGAACTTAATTGTTCAATTAGTGGTTTTACTTCTGATACATTTATTATTCTGATACGGAGAGAGAGTATTTTTAATTTTCTATTAGCGTCATTAGTGATAGTGACGACAAATACCTTAGCATGTATACTTATTATGGCTGGCTAGTTTACGTACGGGAAGCGGAACCGATTCTATGTATATCCAAGTCGGCGTGCGGCTAAATTTAAACCTTGTCGGCCCCGCCCCCACACTGCCGCGACGGCCGACAGCCACCCCTCCGACGTGGGAATTGAAAGTCCCTGTACTTGCAAGATTGGCGGTTGTGAAGTACTTCTAGTTTGGTATAACGAGTGATTAACCGACCGAGTTTGCGAGCAAATAATACTGTGGTGTTAATTATCTTCAAGTACCTCAGTATTTTTTGTTTTTTTTTTTTTTGCCCTTCTCACTTAATTTGCAATGTCATTCAACTACAAAAATGATCGAACTAGTAAAGATACGTAGAAAAATGGGAACAGGTAATGATGCAAAATATACATTATTAACGATTTAGTCATTTCATGATTCATTATCGAGTTTTATTGTATATTATTTTGTTTAGAATCTGTCACCGCTGTTGTTATTGTAAATTTTAATTCGTCTATTTTTGGATACCTCTCATAACCAAAATGATATGTATTTTCATTTATTTACTGGAAAATTGTCCAGTAGGACTTGAGGTAGCAATTGGTTGATGAGTACTTAACTTAGTCGAACAATGGATTTTTTCCTTAAAAATAAATGAACACGTCGGTGTTAGATTGCTGCAGTTCCTCTGTTGGAAGAGGGTATTCTGCATAAATTAGTATGCGTTAAGGGGGTTATCTGCTATGATTAACTCTTTAAAATACATATAAAATTGCCAATAATTGTCTTTCTTAGTACACCTTTTGTAGCTTTAAAAATATGTGATTGGTGAACCACCATTATAAAATAGCACGGACTCGTATTTTTAATGTACGGATTGGTCGTTAAACCAACATTGTCATATTCTTTTGTAGCTTCAAATATAATTTTTTTAAATATAGCTTTGATTGAACAGATTATCAACTGATAATTTTGCAAGATTTTCTAATGCGTATTTAATGTTATTATTACGCTTCTTGAATTCGCACAGAAGACAACAAAGAAAGTCCCATGCCTCTTAACTGGCACAATAGTACTTTACGTCCTACTCCCTCCATTCCAAAATATATGTCGTTGGAGAAAAACTATTTTTTTTCAAAATAGATGTCGTTTTCGCATATCTAGGCATATTTTGTCAATTTATTCCGACATTACCCTTACACAGAAAATTACAATTGCATTTAAAGTAGAAGTGTATTAGAATTAAGTGATATTGGGAATAGAATTGTATTGGGGATAAATGAAAGTAGTTTAGTATTTTAACCAAATATTTATTGTCTCCTTAAACTTTGTGAAACTCCTTCAGCGACATATATTTTGGAATGAAGGGAGTAAAAAATTTGTCATATTTTGAACTTTGTACTAAAAATTATATAAATTTATAAAATTTATCGTGAGTTTTTTTTTTGGCATTTATGGAGTTTTTTTTTTTTTTTGTAACTACAAACAAGTTACATAAGAGATAAATTAAGATAGTATAATTGTTGCGATCGCTCTGATAATCAAGACATGCGCTTTAGACTTGTGAACGAATTTTGTAGAAGATTAAATGAAACTTTTGTGCTAATTAGCGCCAACGAACTTCTGCAGTATTTAACACCATAGTTCATTTACTATAATAATTCGAAGATTATATCATCTGGTGGACGACAATACATGATGTAGTCTTTCACAAGAATTGATTCAGTTGAATTCTTTTACCAGTTTTAGATTCCACTACATCCTTTTACCCTTTTTTTTCCCTTTAAAAAAGTAAATGGATGCCATCAGAGACTTAATGCGAGTTAGCCGCATGAAATTGGATTAAAGATTCCAGTCACTTTGTCTTATACTTCATAAAATAAAATAGCGTGTGTACATTATTAATAATCAAAAGATATCCTCGTCCTTTTGGTCCATAATAAAATTAAAGAACAAAAAAAAAAAAAGAACACACTGAAATTCTTTTATCTGATTCCTCTTTCTAAAAAACTCCTATGTTCTTAAAGAAATGAACTTGAAATGAAAATTTATTAATGTTACTCGAGCTTCGGCTTCAACCTTCAATTAAAAATTGCTAGGTAGTATAGAGAATCGTTGGGTGGACAGTGGTATGTTATGACCCGAGTACTAGTATTACCTCTACTTCGACATAGTCTATTACTCATATCCTTATTAAATGACATTTTGATTTGTCCTAAATTTCATTTGTATTTTTTTTATTGAGAAAAAAAACTTAAAGCTACATTTTCATATTTATAGTGTTCTTCAAACTATTAAAAAATATTTTTAAAATTTTTTTAATTTTAATTAAAAAATCATAATAAGTAATAAAATTTAAGACGAATCAAAATGTTTACGTTACCAAAAAAAACTTCATCATAGAAAGTTTAAAAGAATATATTGTATGAAAGTTTTTGCAATTTTGAGACGTGAATTAAGTTTACGTGAAAAGTGGAAAAAGGATAGAAATACAAAAAAAAATAACAGAAGAAGAAAGAAAGAGAAGGGAAGCGATGGAAGTTGTCGGCCAAATTTGTACTTATCTTTAAGGAAGATCAAATCAACGTGGCGTGGCGGCCGTGCTCAGACGACACACTAGCAGCCAACCAACCAATAAGCCCCCAATTTTTTACGCCCCCCCAGAATACAAAATGCTCTCTCTTCCCTTCCTTTCCTTCAATCATTAATAATTAAAATTTTCTTAAATAAATTCCCATATAGTAAACCACGCCAATTTCTCTCTCCCTATATATATAATATATATATATATATATTCCTTTATTACAAATTACAAATTTCTTTTTCTTATAAATAAGTCGGTTGATTTTGTTAGTACTCTGGTTGGGTTCTTTTTTCTTGTTTGTACTACTTTACTACTCATGAGGTACTCCGTCTGCCTCTCAAACCAAAGCCCTTTTCCTTCCCTTTGACACCAGACAGTTATAATTTTAACAGAAGCATTCGTACTCTCCCTGGGTTTAATTAGTCAATCCAAGAAAAGGGTTTTTTTTTTTTTTTTGTTTCGAGATGGAAGGAGGGATTTGTTCAACATCAACGTCATCAAGTCCAGAGAAAAGGAAACACAGAGGAGGAGGAGGAGATGGGAATCAACAGCAACAACAGGGGAAACCCTATAGAGGGATAAGGATGAGGAAGTGGGGTAAATGGGTTGCTGAGATTAGAGAGCCCAATAAGCGCTCCAGGATTTGGCTCGGCTCTTATTCTTCCCCGGAAGCGGCTGCCCGGGCTTACGACACGGCCGTCTTTTATCTCAGGGGTCCTTCGGCTCGGCTTAATTTCCCCGATTGTGTCATCGAAGCCGATCACGATCAGCTTCGTGACTTATCCGCGGCTTCCATACGAAAGAAAGCCACCGAAGTCGGCGCTCGCGTTGACGCCCTTCGTACCTCCCTCCATGCGGCGGCGGCCGCTTCTGCTTCCGGTTCTTCTTCCAATTCCACCGATCAATCGTCCAACAACAACAACCGCATCCACAGCAGCAAGGTTGCTCGTGTTGAGAAACCCGACTTGAATGAATATCCGAGCCCGGAATCTTCTGATGAGAATTAATTCATTCTTGAGGGGAAAAAAAGGGTTGATGATGATGATGCATGGGTTTGGAAGGGATTTCAGAACAATTGGGAATTTTTTGGTTCCATTTCTGGAAGATGAAGAAATTAAAAAAAAAAAAGGTTTGGATTATGATATACAACTGTTTGATTGTTTTTGGCGGCGGCGGCATCTACGGAGAATCTGTCCTTGCGATTTGGTTATAGATGGTTCTTTTCTCTCTCCCATCTCATGTACTTGGAAAAAAAAAAAAATCCGAAGGGATTTTACATGATGATGGATGGTATAGTAATTCAGTTTGTAGTTGATGATGAATTTTCAAGAGGATGATTATTATTAACATGATGATGAGATACGTACTAGTATATTGGTAAATTAATTCAATTTCATCTTTTTTTTTTCTTTCTTTTTGCCTTCAATTTCTAGCTATCAGTTTTACTCTTTTGGTTTTGTTTCTTTAGCTTTTTATGTAATTCGATTTTCCTGTGTGTGTGTGTGTGTGTTTATATTTTGTTTTTAAGCCTTTGTAGTTTGTACTATATGCCATGGTGGGTTTGTACGACGATTCGGGTGGGGAGGAATGGAGATTGGAGAGGACGACGGAAATCATGGGGCATAATTTTTGTATATATATATAGTGTTTCTTTATTTTGTTCTTTTAACAGAAATTTTATTTTTGGATAGTATAGTTTTGTGTATTTAATTTCCATAATAATTTAATAGAAGTGTACGTAGCATTTTCTGAATTTTATTATGATTTATTTATACGATTGATGATTACCTCTTAATTTAAACTTACGGTCGCATGAATTACATATTTTTACAAAGTTTGTAACTGATGATTTTCTAGTATCTCTAACAAGGTACTGTATATGTTTGAGATAAATCTTATCTCCACTGATAACATTATTGGAGCTGATAGTTATGTTTTTGTGACATCAAATCTTTAAAAATTCACTTTGATGAGCCTTTTGTTGTTGTAGACTGGAATAGTTGGATTAAATAAGTTTTAGAAAGAGAATTAAGGTCTTAATCTCATGAATTTAGGCCCGGATGAAGGATGATGATGATGTATTGAAGTTTGAGGAATTCTCCCCATCAAAAAAAAAAGCAAAGATAAAGAAGAAGATAAGTTTTGGTGTCCAAACTCTGGTACTTGTGACGTTTTATGTGGACACCACACAAACCGCATAAACCCTTCACTTGGGGAGAAGAAAGGTTTGACGATGATGAATTGATGATCAAAGGAAAAAAAAATCGATCGATTCGTATATATTGGTATGAGTTTTTATTTCTAGTTCATTTTGTATTAAAATTGAGAATTTAAATTAGACAATAATTTCAGTACGGGATGAATATTTAGGACCAATTCACAAATCAAAAATTAAAATAAGTGGTGTATTTCAATCACTATCATTCTGGGAAGAAGAAGAAGATGATGGTGGAAGCTTTGGCAAAGGGGTTGTTTGGTAGTGGGATATGTTTGCATGATGGGGAGGTGGGCGGTGGAGTATTTTTCCAGTTTTTTCTTTTTTTTCTTCTTCTTTTCGCCCCTTTTTTTATTTATCCTTTTTTATAACATTTGTTAACAGTGGGTACCTAGTGGTTTACACACACATATATATACACATATATATATATATATATGTGTGTGTGTGTCATGGACCGACCACAATTTTTTTCGCAAAAAAAAAAAATAATAAAGAAAGAAAGTTAAAGTATGTATATCTTTTTAAGTGAAAAACAGGAATCTGGATCAAGTAGTAGCAGTGTTCATGATGAGCCAAGTGGCCTGAAAAATTTTAAAGTGTTGTTTGTTTAGGCATTCTTGGGAATATTTTGGGGGGTTTTGGCGGTTCCTAATGTTTGTAATATATTTTCATCATCATCATCCCGCAAGTTTGTGGCCACCGTTTTTGTATTTTAATTGATTGGCTTGCTGCCTTTTCCCTTTATCCTGAGGACGTACCATACTATATATGCTTTTCTTGTTTTTCTTCGTAAGAGAAAAAGAAAAAACTTTAGGACGTCCATATCATTCAAGTCTTATTCTATTATACATTCTCCTTCTCAAGATAATATATTTGTTGTATAATTTTAATTCAACAAATAAGGTTATTCTCTTAAACCTAAGGGCCAAGGAATATGAATGATTGTAGAGTCTATACATAAATAAATGACTATATTCTAAGTGACATTACATGTATAGGTGATTGGACTTCTACAATATCTTCATTTGTAGAAATATAAGAAATGCACAAGAATAAAATTAATTAGCTTATACTCCGTATAATACAAAAAAAAAAAAAAAGTAAAACCCAATTGTACTGTGTTATTTAATTAGTTTAACAAAAAAAATGATTCTTCTATAGAACAGAGTAAAAGGCCAAGTGAAATCAAATTGTATATTTGCACGAATGGTTTAGGGGTCACATCTGATTTATTATTTTGAATGGTTTTTTTTTGGTAACGCTGAAAACACCCCATAACACTAATCCAGCAAACCATAATTTAGGACGTCCGCCAAATCAGTCGTAGAACCCTACACTATATATCTATTGATCTACTGAATATTGTATGCAGTTTAATGCTACATATAACAACTTTGTAGGGTTGTAGGGTTGTAAGTTGTAACCTTAACAAGAAAATACAACAAATTTGTTGCTTTGCATGTTTCCATTAATGCTGATTAGCTGTATAATTCTGATTAATTTGCCGGCAGTTGGGAGATTAACACTAAAAGATATCGATTAGGTAGACGTACTTATATTAAATTAATACGTACTTTGGCTTTTAGAGGACTGAAGAGAGTACGTCCTTCATAATAGAGTGAATTAAGAAAGCTGCAAAAAAAAAAAACGACAGAGAACTGAGCGTGTATTCTTCTGTAAATATGTTATTATGAAATAGGATATTATTATTTTTTTGTTGGGACAAAAGGAGAAAAGCATGCAGCAAGTGTCGGTGCAAAACAACATTAATTAGCTATGGAAGAGCAAGAGAATAATGAATACGATATTGAAGTTTCAGCCCTATCAGGATATATTTTTGTTTCTACTACAATTATTGGTTCATATCAATATGCATGCTACATTATTAAATTATGCATTTGATCGAAGAGAGATGTGGTTTTGGTTCGTTTGGTCTGGGGGTTCCCCGTTTTCTTGGGTAATAATCACACAGGCAAAAGGGGACAAACTCACCGAATAATGTATTTAAATTCAATTGGCACGTACTATAAGATACATCATCATGCAGTCGGTGATTTGTTTTTGTGGTATTTTTTTCTTCGATTTTTTTTTAAAAAAAAGTTTTGGTTCGGGGACCATTTATTCAGCAGCTGAATAAATTTCTCAGTAGGGTTTGTTATTCAAAAGTTAAATGCATTTTAATCTTTATAAAAAAGAAAAACGGTAAATTTAGATAAGAAGTAATGAAGGGTAGAAGCTTTCTTTAAGACTCAAAAAAAAAAAAACATGTCAATTGTCAACCCATTTTTACTTTTCGCCGGATATCGACGTAATGACATAAAAGTGGTCATCAGCTTAGCTAAAAAAGAAACTGAGGTTAATATCTAAAGAAGGAAAAAAAAAGAAAAAAGAAAAATGAGGTTCATTTGTCTGCATTTCCAACGTAGATTTTACTTTATGTCAATTCATCCCAAAAATATCATTTAAAAAAAAAAAGAAGAAGATTTTCAATCGCCAAATTAACTTCCGAAGTCATCATTAAATGGAATAAAATGGAATAAAATACTACAATATAATCTGTGCTTTATCATTGTGTAACAAAAATAGAAATTACAGCAACAACTAATTAGCTACTTAGCTTGGACATTTTTAGTTGTTTATTTTTATTTATTAAAGAAGCGTTATTCACGGCAGGCTCCTTGCGGTAGCAAATATTAAAAAAAAGAAATAGAAAAGAAAAAAAGACAGAGAAAAGAAAAGGTTCATGGAGGGAGTGGAAAGGAATCTGATTCTGGTATTCCTTGGTAAGTTAATAATGTTGAGTACTAAACTACACAAAGCAACATATACACTTTGATATGGTAGTTGCAGATGGTAACTTACTTTAGATTTACATTATTATCATTTTGGTTCTAAAATTTAACGTACAAACCCATCCTGCGTTATTGTTTCTGTTCAGCTGTCCATTTTTTTGCAGGATGCAAAGATTCCAGATACGCTATCCCAGACAACAACATTCTGCCCCCCAAAAATTAATATGCTTTTTTATATTTTCCGTTGATTAATTCTCCCCCGCTAATGTACAAAATGAGGTTTTATTAGACATATGAACTGTTATACTCCTCCGGTCCTTATTATAAGTCATTTTGATTTCGTCCTAAAATTAACTTAGGATGTCTTTTTAAATGAAAAAAAACCTTAAAAATATATTTTTACATTCGTTGTGTTCTTTTAATTATTATGAAATGTTTTTAAAGTTTTTATTTCAATTAAAAAGATATCCTAGGTGAAATCTAAGACCAAATTAAAATGTTTTATAATAAGGACCGTAGGAGTACTATTTGATTATACTCCTTCCAATCCTCATTAAGAGATATTTTGATTTATCATAAATTTCATTTATATATTTTTTCAGTTAAAAACAAAATATTAAAAAATTATTTTTACATTTACTATGTTCTCATAATTACTATAAAATATTTTCAATATATTTTTTTAATTAAAAAAATATATTAAATAAAATTTAAAACAAATCAGAATACCTTCTAATCAGTTAGCGCGGGAGAAAGTATCTGTTTGCAACTAACCATTTTAGCAACAATGTAACCTAGCTCTAGGACCAAGTCGAGGCTATAAATCTGAAAATGTTTTGTACGTACGGGACTTCCTCCGGAATAGGACAAATTCCTTCCTTCATACATATGGGACCCTACAACCAAGGCTCAAGAGTTTCTGGAACTTCCATGTAAAGTTTATGATTAAGTCTGAATCTCTTTTCATCTTCATTTTCTTTGATATGAAAAAGGAGGCAAGATACCTTAAAAAAAACTTAATTAGATGTTAGTTTTTTAATAAATTACCCTGATAACATCACGCAAAGTCACGGTTATAATCCCTCAGAAAACCTATATTTCCCATGTATGTGACGTCGCAAGAGATGGCGTACTTACGTTGCAAAGTTGACTTTTGAATAAACGTGTCGCAACATATACTTATCGCTAATCAAATGTTCTTGTTGGTGCGTTCCTTGGTCAGTCCACAGGACAACACCTATAATTCCTAAAATGCCTTGCGAAACAGAATTAATATTCTGATGGCAAAGTCAGAAATCTTAAAGAGAGAAAAAAAAATTAAATATTATATAGAGAGAGAATGATATGAAAAATAAATGTTTTGGAACCCACAAAAGAAATATAAGAATATTCTCTTGCATATAGGTGCACATGGATCTTAGTGGATATTAGTGGACCTTTGGACTAATTTGACTAAAGCCCAACGAGGCATTAGCCTAATTACCCCATCCGTCCTCAAGTTAATTTAATTAGGAAATATATTTTTGAAACATTCAAATGGCATTTACATCGAAGAGGGCCACGAGAATATTGTCGTTTGATTCCAATCGGCAATTAAAGGACAAATAAAAAACATAACATTCTCGATCGTCAAGCTTCTAGTTAGCTCGTTGACTAAACGGGCGGCTGTAGTATTTGAAGTGGTGCAGATGGCTTTATGATCGAAGGCCAAGTCTCCATCGATCGGCAGTGAT